CACTTTGAGACTAATAATGGCTGGAGACGGCTTGAATGGGTAATGAAGAAAAATTTTAATATAACAGCAAATGTACAACATTTCGACAAGGTTTTGTCATCATCAGGTACCTGATTATTAGTGTTTCAAATACTTCTCATTTGTAACCTGTACTTGAGTTAATAAAGAATGATATGAATAAAATTATCAATTTTAATATTACAACTTTTACACAGAAATGTATGGTACTGTAGGTGTTCTAAAAATCAGTCCTAGTACGTGCATTAATAATAGTTAACTTTCACTTTTCATCCCAATAATACACATTACTAGTCAATGTTTCTGGCATTTCAAGTTTAAAAAGCAAAGTAAGTCGCAGTTTTTTTTTTCATGACATATCTTAGAAACACTGCTGTTGCTCACTGTATTGTGTTAATAAACAATTCACTCCGTTATCTTTTCTTGCTGGTTATTTCCTAGTATCATGGAAGGCTATAAATGTTACTATTCTAGAAACTTAGAAAAAAAGATATTAATAAAGTTACCAGTTAGGTTAAAAGTATGATTTGTCTCTTCCAGGATTCTGTACAATACAGTTGTTTAGTTTCTTACAAGGAAGAAAGAGGTGATGAATTTGTACCACCCATCCATTGAATAAATATTTCACCAAAACCTTGTTATTCATTAACAAAAACCTTTTGTTCTGACTTTACACTGTATATTTAACTCTTCACAAAAACTGAAGTAACTGCCTTCAGAACAATACATAAAATTCTCTTTAATTATTATACATAATCCTTGGGGAAAAAAAAAACTGAAACTAGAAAATTCACATCTCATGTTAATGTATTCTGGTTTATACAATTTCATGGTAACCAGTGGCTTAATAAACTTAAAAAATAATTTACATATTTTCATTAATTATATTCCTTTTGTTTTTCAAGTGTTTATTTTTCTATTCATTTTATGTTAACCCTAAATTTGCAACTTAACAAGGCACAGATTGTTGACAAATCTGGAATTCTCCTTTCCTTCTTCTAGCACTCTGTCTTCTAGGTAACCAAGTAATGGTGGAAGAATGCACATGTATACGAGGTGACTTTACTCACCCATTGGTAAGCCCATTGCTAAAATTGCTGATCAATTAATCATTGAGCTCATTAATTGACCAGCAATCTGCCTAGATAGATTAATCTTCTTATTTTGTATCTTTTTTTTTGTTCCTTTAAGAATTTTTTTTGTAAACTACCCTTCATTTAATATGATTTACATCTTTAGGTACAACAATATAGAATTAAGTTAAATTTTTTTATCCAAAACTATTATATAGGATTTTTGTATACCAAGGATGTTATTGCACTGTTGTGGGCAGTTCCTGTCGGATTGGTTTTGAGTGAGATAGATTACATTACAAACACCATTACTATACCGATCGTCCAGATGTTGGGTTCAAACAATTTATCAGATTCCTTTCATATGTCCCGTTCATAGATCTGGGGCTATGATCCTCTTTCCTACCCCCACCAGATGGCTGGGTTTTGGATTGTAGTTGACTTGTCGCCAGTATGATCCTCTTCCATACCCCCACACAGATGTTGGTTCCTGGATTATAGTGAACTTGCCAACAGTATAATCCCCTTTCTTACTTCCACGTGGAAGTCAGTTCCCCAGTATAATCCCCTTTCTTACTTCCATGTGGAAGTCAGTTCCCAGTATAATCCCCTTTCTTACTCCCATGTGGAAGTCAGTTCCCAGTATAATCCCCTTTCTTACTCCCACGTGGAAGTCACTTCCCAGTCGGTGGGTTTTGGATTGTAATTAACTTATCGATGAAATGATCCTCATCCTACCCCCGTTGATGTTGGTTCCGGACTGCTTGACTTGCCATGTATGATCCAGCATACCCTAGCCACTCTTTACACTTAGAGGCACATCCATTTACTCTCTGGGATTGAAAATCCAATATCTTGTGGTTCGGATCCCTATCCAACCATTGTTCTCTCCCTTTTGGATGTGCTCCTCCCAATTTCTGCTACACCTCTTTCCACACTGGGTGAAGAGTATACCTGGTACAGAAGTGGTGCAGTCTCCCATGTATGATCCTCTACTCATCTTGGAGAGTGTTCTTCGGATGCTTCTTTCTTTCCCTCATGCTGGTCCTTCCACCTATTCAATGTGTGATTCTAACTATTTACATGAGCGTGGGTAATGTACCGTATCGGAAGTTATAATTTTCCTATACTGAAGTTGTATTTCCGATAGGTACTTACCTCCGTTCACACTTCCCACCCACTGAAAACCAGTGCTTCCATTTTCTGCCAAAAAATGGTGATATTTTGGTAGAATCAAATAGAGAGAGTCATATGCATCAGGAGGGTGTGTTGCATGCGAGACACAGTTGAACCACATTGATCTTGGGGGGTATGTGCGAGCTCAAGGCTTGTGAAAAAAAAAAAAAATGGATACAGAAGGAAGGCAGCACTGAATGAGGATAGCTACTTATGCGAGAAGAGGTAAGTACCTATTGGAGATGTGTTTGCAGAAGCTGTTGTCAAAAGATCCTGTAAAAACAACTGTAACATTCAAAGTGGTTCAAAATATATTCATGGGTAGAATAAGAAACAAACTAAATATATTTTCACGCAAGGCCTCCATGAAATATTTTCTTTTTATTATATGAAAATATAGTCAGTGAATGGATCCCCCCATTCATTTAGTAATTTTGTCTTACTGCTTTTACTATTTCACAAAACCGAAAACACAGTACTGTAATATTTGAACAGTCAGGTTACGGACCGCATTTAAAAGTAAAATAGTAACCATGTTGCATAGATAAACAAGAAAATTCTCTCCTTCAATGGCAACATTTCTCTCAGATCCAAAAAAAAGTCTTATCTACCAAAAGCCCAATATTTACGGGCACCCTTTTCTGTACGTCACAAGGTTTTACTTTGTTAATTTAAAATTTAATTAAGCAATATTACATCAATAAAATTAGCATTTACATTATAGTTCAAAAGATTTATATCATCTAAATTTTAATTCCTTTATTTCATAAGAAACCTTGGAGAAAAATTCTTAAACTTCAGTTCTGTTGTCTCGTGATGTTCACAAAATCGTAACCTTTCACATCTGAAACTTGAATACTTCTTCACATACACTATACTTTTACATATGGACAGAAACTATGTGAACTGTTTTGTTTACACAACCATTTTTCAGAATACTTCTTCACATACACTATACTTTTACATATGGACAGAAACTATGTGAACTGTTTTGTTTACACAACCATTTTTCAAAGTCTGTAGAAATAATTCTTCCATGTCACATAAAATATATTTTGTAAACTCCCAACAGATGTCACACCCCCTTCTGTGCTTCGAAGCAAATTTGGATACCACCCTCTATTTTTATAATCATTTGAAAGCTCCCCCCCCCTTTGAGCTATGTAATACTGTCAGTATTGACACGGGCAGCATTGTTACAGAAAGTTAACTAAATTACAGCAGGTTTTTTTGTACTTCAAAATACATATATAAAATTTGCAAAAGTAAATTTGCTTACCCTCTTCATGTAGGAGATTCAACAAGGCTTAAGACGATGGTTAGTAAGTACAAAGCACAAGTGCAAACATTTTTTTTTAGCATTGGTAGTACGAGAGATCATTGTTTTAAGAAAAATACCTGAAATTTAAGAATTTATGTGTAATAATATGTATGGTAACCAAAATACTAGTAAGACTATGAAGAGTAAGATTTTTACTTTGTGAGCCAATTTTATTATAGACTAGTATAGTATAATTATGTCTATTGAACTAACATTAAGGGAGAATAAAAACAAATACAAAATTAGAAACTTGGCAATTCAAGAAAGATTTATTCATAAAGTTTCAGAAGGATGAAATGTCTTACAAAAACCAGTGAAATAAAAATGTACAAACTGAAACATGAATGCAAATATTTACTTATCACGAGAATAAATGCCACTACTGTACATACAAAACTGTATAAATAAATGAAAACATATATACAAACTGTGATATTTAAAACCTTATACAAATGTTTACACAAGATGATCTGACAAAAATGGTAAGAACTTTCAGAAAACATATAATAAACTTGTGCTTACAGAACCGTCATCGAATGAGAACGTGTGTGTGTGTGTATATATATGTATTTTCTTTACTCTATGTCACTACAGACCTTTTAAAAACTGCAAAAGTCTACTTATGATGACATACATAGAATTATAAAAATGCTCATCACACACGAAAGGAGCATCATTACTATATATATATATATATATATATATATGTCATACAAAAATATTTATGTAAAAAATAAAAACAAGTATATGTAAACTATGAAAATATGTAGCATTTTCAGAG